GGGGGCAGCGGCTCCGAGAGCCAGGCCTGGACCTGGAGCAGAGCCCGAGCCCCACTTGTGCTGACGCGGCAGCTCCCCGTCTGCAGGGGAGGCTGGGCCTCTGGGTGCTCTGAGATGGCGGCATGTCCCTGGGGCCTCGCCTCACCCCTGGGAGCTCCCAGAGCCAGTAGGCGCGGCCTCTGACCCCCATCTGGCCCGCCACCCCAGCACAAAAACGGGGCGATGGGCCAGGCAGGAACTCAGCAGTCAGCCCGGGGGGGTCGGAGGGGGGAACAAGCTCAGCCCTTGATGGCGCCCTCGAGAAAGAGGGGTGCTCCCCCGGTCCCTCCGCCCTCCAGCCCCTGCTCTGCCTCCGAAGGCCTCTGGCTCCCCATCTCCTGTCACCTCTCTGGCCAGCTGGCCTCAGAGGTTTTGACCTGATTCTGGGGACACACGGAGGGCTCAGGCAGGCCCTGGGGACGCAGGCCTGGCAAGGACGGGAGAGGTTTAGCCACTGAGGGCCCAGGAGGTGGGGGTACCTGGGAGGGGGAGGAGACACCTGGGCCTGGAGGGGTGGCGGCAGCACCTGGCCAGGCTGGCCCTCCCTGCACCCCTGCTGGTCGCCATGGCAGCTGAGAGCTCAGGGAGCCAGCCTCACCTCTCCCGCTCCCCCTCCCCCTCCCCCTGCAGGTGGAGCCGCCGGAGCTGCCCGAGGACCTGCAGCACTGGATCGCCTACAACGAGGCCAGCAGCCGGCTGCTCCGGGCCGAGAGCGGGCTCAGCGACGTTGTCAAGGACCAGTGACCACCCCTGCCCGCCAGCCACTACCTAGGCAGTCGCCCGCCCGCCCCCGCCTGCCAGGAGGCAGACACTGCAGAATGGGGAGGCGGCCGGGCTCTCCGAGCTGAGGTAGCCTGTGACCAGCCCAGCCCCCTTCACTCGCTCGGCCCTCCCCCCACCCCCATAATTGACACTCCCTGAGAGCCTCCCCACTGAGCATGGGATGGGGTGACCTAGGCACCCTGACCTATCTCTGTCCTGCGGGTGGAGGCGGTGAGTGAAGAGGGAGGCCCAGGGTCCTGGGCGTTGGGACTGGGTTAGGGGTGCCAGGCTGCCATGGGCCCGAGTCCAGAGATAGCTCGGAGCTCAGGGAGCACCTGGAGCCGCACTGGGCACCGAGCCCGCAGAGGAGATGGTAGGGGAGGGGGGCCCAATTCGGGCACCTGAGGGGCCGCCAGCATCTCAGGCCCGTCCCCCTCTTGGGCTGCAAGTGAGGGGGTGGCAGGCCCGGGGCGGAGTCTAGCGGGTCAGAGGGCGTGGCGAGCTTCCTGAAGCTGGGGGTGCCCTCTGCACCCGCCCTCACCGTCTGCATTCCTTGTACCCATTGGGGTGTGCTGTGTGCCCACGGGTGGGGCCCTGCCCTCTCTGGCCCTTCCACTGGCTGGCCTTGCCTCGCACCCTGTTCTGCTGCCCATCTCCCCTTCTTCCTGGGAGGGGCCGCCTCCCGATGGGCCGGGGCTGGGAGGGGTCTTCTCGGTTCCACCCCAGTGGCCTGGCCCGGAGCTGCCCTCGGGGCTCCCCGATGGAGCCACCCACCTGCTGGGTGTGGCCAAGCCACACACCCCCCCCCCCCCCCCCCAGCCTAATGCCTCAGCTGGAGAGAGGCAGGAACTGGCCGAAACCTCCAAGCAAGAAAGCCTGGCCCAGGGCCCAGGATGTGTGACTGCCGACACCTGTGTGTGTGGCGCTGCCCCCCAGCACCCCCGAGTGCACGGGTGGGCCAGGCAGCCGGAGCCCAGAGCCACCGCCTCGCCGCCCAGTCTGGGAGGCCCCCACCCCCGCCTTGGAGCCAGGAGCACAGCCCGCCTCACGCCTCACGCGCACACGGTCGCCTTACAGCCGCTGGGAAGCTGCAATGTGTGTTCTGCTTAAAGGACCCGAGATTAAAGGGTCTTCGGTGTGAGTGTCTGGGTGAGGTCCTCATTTGGAAGCGCCGACCCCACCCCCACCCCGAAGCAGCGGGCACTCCTGGGTGTGTTGGGGGGGGGTCCCGGCTTGTTGGATTCCTGTGAACAGGGAGGGGCGGCCATGGGGGGGACCGGCTGGCAGGGCAGGACTGGCCCCGTTCCACAGAACGCGGGGCCGAGGGCAGGAAGGAGTGGCCCCGGCGCTCCGGCTTTGTCACCCCCAGACCTTGCTGGCCCGTGTCAGGGCGCCAGGCTCAGGTGTCCAGTTTGGTCCCAGGGTCAAGTCCCGTGATGCCCCAGGGTGCGCGGGAGGCTGTGCCCCGGCTCCGGGTGGGGGTGGGAGAGTTGTGATGAGCGTAAGGCTCTTCTCGGGCCCCTGGTGGAGGAGGGGCCGCGTCCCTGCTCTGACCTGCCCAGGAGGGCCTGGCTCTGGGCCCGGGACAGGATGGCGGCTGGAGAGCTGGGTTTGCTACCGGCATCCAGCTGGGTGCGGGGCAGCTGGGGGTTTGCAGCCCGGGGCCAAGCCTGGCTCCTCACCTCCCCTGGCGGCCTGCGGACAGCAGGGGCCGGGCCCGTGGGCTGGGCAATGTGTGGGACCAGGGAGAGATGCCAGGGGACAAGGAGGGGATGTTTGCAAAAGGATAGAGGGTCCCGCAAATCAAACAGCCTGGCCGGATACGTGTGGCAGGGAGGGCGCTCCCGGTGGGAGGCACACAGCCCCGCACGCGCACGCACACACATGCACACACACACACATGTACACACACACAAACACACGCGCAGGTTCCTAGTCTAGACAGAGGGGCAGCCCTCTGGGGGGATGCTCTGGGGGTTGGTGCCGGCCCAAGTCCAAGGTGAAGTGAAGGTCCCTCTGCACTGGAGCCTGGGTTTCCCTGGACACTGGGAGTGGGGCCTGGAGAAGGGGGGCGTGGACACTCAGGGGCTCCCCCCACACCTCTCAGCACCCTCTGCCACGGGGGGACCTCGTCATGGGCCTGGCCGTGGGCCGGGTGAGTGGCAGTGGGTGCTTCCCGGAGCCAGGCCTGGTCCTGGGTCACTGCTGGCCGGCCTGGCCCTTCCTCCTGGCCTGGCGCCCCCTCCACCCAACCTCTCTGTCGTGGAAGGCCTTGCCCTGCTGCCTCCTCCTCCGAGAAGCCACCCTGACCTGGCTCTGGTGGGTGCGGTGTTCCCCCTGCACCTGGGGTCCCATCTCCCGACCCTCCCCCCGCAGCCAGCAGCCAAGCCCCAGAGGTCTGTGCGTGTTGCGGCCTGGTGACCATCCTCGCTCCCAGGGGGGACGGCGGGGACTGGTGTGATGAGGAGAGAGCAGTAGGTGGGGGCAGAGGGGGGTGCAGGCTTCAGGTGACGGCCCGAGACGCAGGTGGAGACGCCCCAGAAAGGAGACCGGGAGGCCTGGTGCAGGTGGGCGAGCTTCTTCCAGGGCATTCC